GCCTCTTAGAACAGTGGTCGCCAAACTTACGAAGGTTGTGGGCAACCATACAGTTTTCAATCTTACTTTGAGCAGTCAAGTAACCAAGAAATATTGTTTTCAAATCTTAACAAGTGTTTATTGTCTATAAACATAAATTTTTATTCATTGGAAACAAATTTTATTAAAAATATTCAAGAAAAATAAATTGAAATGGAATTGCATATTACAAAAAAGAAAATATAGTTAGTAAAAAATTATAAAATTAAGATCAATTTTTCATCTGACTTGCTAATGAAAAGGATGGCATCCTTTCTTGTGCCAAGTTTCTTTTCTATGTTGGCAGAGTAGGTGGTGACTGCCATTTGAATACAGTTGTCCAAATGTTCATCAGTGAACCGATTCTGTATTTGTTTTTTTTTCTTTTTTTTAATTTCATACTGGAAAAGGAAACCTCACACAAATATGTTCAGCTGAACATTGCCTTAACTTTTAGACCAAACTGGCTCAAAATAGAGTATTGCTCTTAAGGAACAAGAGGCCAAAGGTCGCTTGAAGAAAGAAATTTCAAATATTGATCATTTTGAAAATCAATTAAATCCAACTCCACTGCAGCATTAACTCCTCCAAAATTAGAATGCTCCGAGATATAAGAAGAGAACTCTTCAGCACCAGTCTCCATAAAATGTGACTTGAAAAACTGAGCTGCAATTGAAATGATCGCAATCTGGCAAAAATTGTGCCGCAAACTACTATTAGCTTGCTATTGACAGTGAGCTGACCACTGTCGTAGAACCTCACTGAAAATTAAGTTTAAAATTCACGACCCACATTTACTTTACAATAATACGTAATAGTTCTGGTAGCTCTTGTATGACGAAATCGGAGTCAACTTTCAAAGTAAGCTCCGCTTACAGAGTGTCACATGAGTCGCTTAGTGTCACATGAGTCGCTTAGTGTCACATGAGTCGCTTAGTGTCACATGAGTCGCTTAGTGTCACATGAGTCACTATTGCCTGGTCTATTAACAGTTATACCTTTCGTTTTCTATTTCATTTCTTGGAACCACACCTTCTGAAAGTCAGCTATTTCATAGCATATCCATGGAAACGCTAGATACCTTTGTTAGTTTGCTTCCTGATTTTGCATCAATACTATTGACCAAACCATCATCATACTGTGCTCTCCTGGCTACATACGTACGTGATGATGGTTATGAGTAGACCGGAGAACTTCATCCAAATGCATATTTTTACTGATTGCGCATATCTAAAATAAATGTATACAACATTATCTCTCATCAAAAATAAACCGAATCTAGCTCATTTTTATTTTTGCATAATTGCATATTTCTGATATTTTGGCCGATAGGTAAAATACCGATAGTTATATACATTTCTGCCGATATGCGCAATCAGTTAAAACATGAAATTGCATTCACTTACACGCTCTAACCATTGGAAATACAGGGGAAAAACTTGAATTATAGTAGAATGGGAAAGACTAGAATCTGACGGACAGAGAGAGAGAGAGAGAGAGAGAGAGAGAGAGAGAGAGAGAGAGAGAGAGTCTGACTGATAGAGAGAGAGTCTGACTGACAGAGAGAAAGTCTGACTGACAGAGAGAGAGTCTGACTGACAGAGAGAGAGTCTGACTGACAGAGAGAGAGTCTGA